TGCCAGGCAAAGTTCGGATGTGCGGCTGGCGGCCCTCCGGAGGGTCGCCGGGAGCCGAGCGCAGCGCCGTGAGTCTGGCGAAGAGGAGGGAAAAACTTGCAGCTTTTCGATCAGACTTTATGCTTTTGTTCGCGTATCCGTTATTTTAAATGCTCACAGCTGGTAATAGTGCATAAAAAGCATAAGAAATGGCAAGAGTAATGAAATTAATTTCTGTGTCTTCTCACGAATGACCCGAGGTGAAAAAAGCTGCTCTGTTCGGCGTACATCGGTAACACGGGTGGTAGCGACGTTACAGGCACACGAGAGCATCAACTTCTGCGGGCCTTAGATGTGCTGTTCAGAGGAGAAAAAAATAATTAGCAGGTAGTAGTGACTGCAGTCCAGTTACAATACTTATTATTGTAATTTATTTTTAAATGTTTGGGGCTGAGGTTTTTCACACAGTTTCAATCCCCCAAATAGTTTATTTCATCACTGTTTTATCACTATCTAATATTTACTGCTCTAATCATGGACTGATGATTTTCTCCAGATTTGTTTTTTGACCGGGGGAAGGAATTTTTACAGCTTGCGTGATGTCAGGTGTAGGTACAGGAGCATAAGAATTGCGGTAGCAGGACAGGCTAGCTTTTCGCCATGCTTTTTATCTCCTTTTCATGTTCTCATCTGTGCCATATGCATCCAAGCAAGGAAAGAAAATGTATGCTTAAGCCAAGTCTGAGTAAAAACCTGCGTGGGATGTGTTTGCGTGTCGGGATCGATGGAAAATAGCATTCTTTTCTCATGTTTTAAGTTCATATATTGTGAGTAGTTAGCTAAGGATGACTGAATTTTGGGAAGCGAAGCATAAATTTTGCATGTAGCCTTTATGAAGACTGATGTTAGCTATGTCTCGAGTACATAGGGTATAGCTAAGCATTTTTTCTAATTCCTGTGTCATTACAGATGGGAAAAAAGGTGTAACAATAACTATCAATTTCACGAAAAAAGTGCTGTGCTAAAGCGGTCGCTTTCCATACTCACTCCATCATTAGCCATGCAGTCTGTACTGCTAAAGCAAAAGTATCAACTCGTTTCATACATACCAATGAACTTTTTCTAGCTGGTCATTAAGCTCCGTTACTATCCACCAGAAGCCTTAGTTGAAAGAATCTGTATACTATTGCTCATACAGATCACTCTTTACTGTACAACTTCTGACACATTGGTGTAGGAATGACAGTATTTTTGAAGTTTTGTGTGAGAAATTGCTTGGCCCTATTTTGTTATGTAGAAGACAAGATTGACCCTTCCTAGGAATATAAATGCCTGCGCTTTTATTGAAGTGAAAGGGTTTGATGCAGCAAGAGGACTTAGCCCATTCAAAAGCACAGCAAAGTAATGACATCCTATATTCATTAGGAGAAAAGCTAGGTGAATTTAGGGAAATCTGAATTGATGGGGTCACTTTCTTTTATGCTCAGTGGTGGCTTTAATGTTTTTTAAAGACAAAAAATTTTCGTGGACATGTTTGGGAGCACATTTCATGCAGCAGAAGTTTAAGAGAACAACATTGTACACAAATACCGTGCAAAGGCTCCACTGTTAGAACCACAACTGAAACACAATCATACAGTAAGTTCTTACCATTTGCTTCATGACCAAAATCCTAGGACAACCAGGACATTGGGACCTTGTGACTTCTCCGATGCTCCAGTTTTCATGCCTGAGTTTGCCACATTCTCATTTTCGCAAGCTTGGGAACAGCCAGCAAAATCCTCACCGAGGGCTATTGCGCAAGGCTATTTCCATCTAGTTCCTGTGTGTTGTGGTGCCCAGATGAAGCAAGCCAAGAAACGCAGCTCTTGGGGCTGTGTCTCAGTCGTTCCCTTTCGTAATAGCATGTGCACACAGCTCTTGGGGCTGTGTCTCCCCTTTACGAAAGTCGTTCCCTTTCGTAATAGCATGTGCACTGTCTACATCAGTGGAAAGGGAAAATGAAACTCAGGCATGCCAACAGGCCGCTGTCGTCAAGTGCCCCCCTTTATGTTTCATGGTTTATTGGAACACGTGAGAGGCTTTTATGAAAATAGTAACCTGCTTCAAAAATTGTTCATTGTAGTGCTTTACAGCAGGGGATGGGAGGGGATTATGTACTAGAATACAAATGAAAATACAGTTCAACTTTGTTCGGTATCTATTGAAAAGCAAACAGGAACTTACTTATCTACCTGTAGTCTTCTTCAGTATTTTTTTTTTTTAGACAGGTAGAGAAACTGTCACATTTTTCCTTTCTGCCGATGTTAATTCATATTGTATAGTCAAATGAGTAGCCACACCAACTTCAGTGGGATTGTGTGTGTAAGTGCTGCTTATCATGACATACTGATGGAACTGAGCTTAAACTGACATTTAAGAAGTGATTATCCACTCAGGCCACAAAAAAAGAAACTATTTTTACAATGGAAAACTTCCTGTTGTGTATAAACGTGAAGAATTAACTCTATTGATTAACTCAACTTTTAGAACAGCCTAATTAGAACAGCTCCTGATAAGGAAACGTGGATTAATGACAGTGTTTATTGGGATGCAAATAGAGTGAAAAAAAACTAAACACCAACCGTGAACTCAAGGTAAAAAGAAATTCAGTTTGTGAATTCCAGTCGACATTGCTCAGAAAACTTCCTTCCAGCAACGGAACTGCTTAGCAGAGAGAAAGGAAGGGAGGCCACAGGAGCTGCTGTTTTCTCCTGTTGGTACAACGTTATTAATGTTGATGGCATTTCTCTAGCAAATGTTTCACATAAATCATGTATCATCACTTGTGACAGAATGATGGCATAAAGGAATATTACAGTTGCCCTGTGATCTACCTTAAGCTAATTGCTTGCATATGTTTCATTAGTTTTCAACTGACAGGAAGAAAACTGATTAAAAACATGGATTTATGTTCTGATGTACACTTCTCAGATGGGGTTAAGACTTTTAAGTCTTCTCCCTCTCTTCTGTCCCTACCCATTCCAGATCTCTGTAATGTCCTTTTTCTATTATTCTGATTTCTCCTATCTCTTCCCACATGCAGGGTTGTTTGCCACATCTCTAACTCCATCCTTTCCATCTTTGTATCAATCCGTTGGTCCTTCCCTTTCCTTGTTCCTTCCAGATCCATTCTGTCTTCTAAGCTGTATGATTTCTGGGGCTTTCTGTACCCATTTAGGACTCTCACAGTTGCATATTTTCTTCAGTACTCTGATTTTTAACTCTTGTCTAATACAGTGTTTCCAGACCTATAGTCCTTACGTTTTGTTTCTTTGTTTTCAAGAAGGACATGTTTCTAATGCTTTGATTTGAAAAAATCAGGGAAGACATACCTAGCCCATCCCTAGATTGCCGCTACTGCTGGTAGGTTCCTGTGCTTCGATTTCTTATAAGGGAGCCTCACTGCCCGTTGCACACAAAGATTGCTGACATACGGAGTGCAGAAAGCAAAACCTGTCTGTTACTGAGGGCTAGCCTGCTCTCAGAGAAGAACTTTAAGACACAGTGACAGCTAAGCGGCACCAGGCAGTGGTGCCTACATACAACCACAAGCCTGGGTAGCTCCCGAGCTACTAGAAATAAGCATTTTGCTTTTCTTTGGCACCTGCCACTGCTGCACTACAGCAGTCCTCTCTGGCGGGCCAGAATCCATTCATCACGGTGCACTGCTGCGAGCATGTGTTGTCGAGTGCGGCATTCCTAGCAGTTTTGTCTGCCAGTGTCAGCATCAGGTCTGCTGGTCTCCTCACGTGCTTTCAACTGTTTTATTATAATTCCTCCTCACTTCCTGTTTGTTGCCTGCTATTTTTCTGCTGTTGCTGCTGTTTTTCCATTCTTTCCAGTCCTCCCAGTCTCACAGTCCAGCTGTCCCTCCCAGCTGCCATGGACCCCACCATCTCCCATATTCTACCCTTTCTGCTGCTGCAAGGGCATCGCCCACAGCCTCATTCTCCCTCTGCAGGAAATAACTATCATTCCTGCTGTACTACACACCATGGCTATTGGAAGACATTAGTTAAATAACTAAATTGTCTTGAGACTGAGCACCATGTAAGGGTTACAGCATGATCGTATTTGTTCTGGGCAATCAACTTGATGTAATGGGAAACTCAATCCAAAGCCGGATCCTAGGAAAAAGCTGGGTGAGACTATCAAATACATAATGTTACCCTTGTCTAGTGCAGCACTGTGCAGAAACTTCACACTTCCATGAAATGATCCTCAAAAGGGCAAATTTGGCCTAGAAGTCTTGTGGCTGGATGGTAATCTATCTGAGAAATCACCTTCCTTTTCTACTTATTACAAACTCTTTCAAATTCTGAGATTCACATTCCTATTTCTGGAAACAAATCCATGACCCCAGATAATTAATTTGCTTTAACAGTCAACAGGAAAATGGAACTGCCATTTATCTTTCAGCTTGACTTTGTGTACAGACTCAGGCAATTACATCTTCATCTTTCAGTTAATTTTATCTGCTACAGACTCAGTTAAATTTACTTGCAGATTTCAGTTATTTCCTGAAAGTCTGCAGGATATGAGCAATTGCTCTTTATATATTAATCACTGAAATGTTTTATCCTGACTTCCTAAGGAAATAAAGCTTATATGAGCAATCCATATGTTTGTGTGCACACTTCTTTATCTGTCCTTTCACTCTGCCCTGTCTCTATCGAATTAATTGACTAATTTCAACCTATCTGAAAGAAAATACGTTCTTTTAGAGATGAATTGTGTACTCCTTAAATGCTGTTGTCCCTAATAGTTTTGGTTTTTTTTCTTCCTTTCACCGACAAAAAGGTAGCAATATGAACCTTCCACCTATTAGACTGAAGGAAATCCACACACAAGAGCAATGAGTGCCCCAACCATGCAAAAAGCTTCAGTTGGTGAACAGAACTTATTAGGCGCTGTTGTAAGCCACAAATGCACAAGGAACCAACTCAAGCACTTTTGCTGCTCATAGAACGTCTGGTTTTGTTCGCTTGATTTTTCTTAAAATCCTGAATGCTGGGTCACATGGCATGCATGGGAATAAAGTTTGACAATAATTATTTTAATGATTATTTAAACACTTCTAGTAAAATTTTAAGTTTCAAATGGCTTTCGCTGATTATCTGTAATGAAGGAGGTTTCTTGCCTTTTTATAATTGTCAGATGCACAATCATAGCTTTTTCCATAAGGTCAGCGCATTCTTGTGGCTGGAAGAGGTCCGTATCTGCTTGCTTTCCACCAAGAAATGCTGTAAATGGCTGCTATGCCATCAGTGGCCCAGAAGAATGAGGGATATGACACCATCTATCCCCTGTGCTGCTCAGAAGACGTGTCCTCTGAGAATTGAGGTCTACAGATGGAGCAGGTAAAAAAATAAAAAGCTGAAAGTTAGAAGGTGACAATGCAGTTGTATTACCCTCCACCCAAATTCATGCTCTCGTAGCCCCCTTTGTCCCTGGCGCAAATTCAAAGAAGTTGAAAGTGGCAGCCGGGGAAGGAAATACTCTGAGAAATTTGTCAAAATAGTGACATTATGATTGAAGGAGCACAGCTGCCACAGGAGAGGATGCAGACTTTGAGGGCAGGCATGAATCTTCACTGCTCTTGGGCATATACTGTCAGATATGTGAGGATAACCCAGAAATCACTTTCTCCTTCATGATCATTAAGCAAGAGCTGTGCAGAGATTAGGGCACCCGAGAAACTGAAGTCAGACTCAGAGGAGTTGCAGGAGAGGACAGACCCTTGTGACAGAATGCAAATACCGTAACTTCTTACCAAAGGAGAGAAGTTCTACTGGAATTTAGCACAATACACGGGTGTGTCTTTGCCATGATAATGTTAGGCAAAACTTGGGGAAAAAAAGGAAGAACAACTGACTTTCCTGAAATTTTATTACTGGATGTACTCAAGATGGTAATAACATTGTAGCTGTGATGCTCTAGAGATACAATCAAGTGATCTTTCTGGGGAAGCTAATTTACATGATAATTATTTTATTAGAAATGTATACAATTGATGAAAATACAGACAATTTGGAGAGCACATAAGCTCCTCTCCAACTGTCCTATTTTCATTTTTTGTGTGATGTTTTTAACTTTTACAAATATTTCACATGATCTAGACATACCTGTTTTATATATCCTTGGTCAAATTTGCATCACAATGAAAAATATATCTGCTTAGCTTACAAATGAACTAATATTATTCCCTACTGACTTGCATCAGATTACTTTAAGGTTATTATTGTTTATAATTTTTGTTCTGAAACACAAATTCATGGTCCCACATGTGGTGAGCCCTGTCATGTTATTTACTACAGAAATAAAGAATGAAAAGTGGCCACCGGCTAAGTTAATACCTAATTTCTTTTTCATTTCATGCATTGGTGGAGTAACCTCACTGTATTTTTCGATGAATTCTAAAGGTTTGCATTCAACACACACCATAATGATGTAACAAATTACCTAATGTTTGCATAAATGCAAAAATCCTTAATGTAAGCATGCCCAAGGTTATTTGAAATTGCATTGCTGAAACAGAACAGGCAGTAAGTCCCACTGCAGTCCATTTTAGAAGGATTGTAAACTTCAAGTTTTCAGACATGTCCGCAATTCTCATGTATTTCAAGGCCAATTCTTTCAAAAAAAAATCTAAATCTTAAGTGTGCAATATTCTTTTATTTTAGTGCACGTGGAGAATTTGCCTGTTAGACATCCGTCTTGTGTCAGTATCGTACTTCAGCAAAATACAAAGAGAGTCACATAGTCACTTTGGACTTAATTGGCATAATATTCGTTGGCATTCATTGCAATGAACAGCGTATTTCCAGTGTAGCAAGTGGTAGGAGTGCCACTTCAAAAACAGCTTTTCTACCATAAGCAGGAGATCTTACTCACAAAAGAATTAATTTTGGTGAAGAGGTTCTAACTGAGAGATTTTCCAGCTCTCATTTTCATGCATGTTGGTTGCAGATCTGTCTGGTCTTTTATATTTGCATATGTTTTGCCCATTACATTTGTTGGTATCACAGAAGTTATAAGAATTAAGGGCTTTACCAGAAGAGAGAGCTACTTCATGGGAGGCTACAAGATGAATTTACAGCATGTCAGCAACTCTGAGCTAATGTGGCAGGGGAACATATTTTTATTACGAAAAAAAAATCCTTATTTTTAATTAACTGTCAATAATTTATAAGGAAAGTAATAAAATTACTGCATTTTTTACTCCAATTCAATTTGAAGAGAAAAACTAAGTATTTTTTCCCCTTTAACTAGACGTCCTGTATTCCACTTAGTTACAATCTCAGATCTCCTCTGCTCTTCTCTGTCTCTGCCCTTAAAGATTAATGAAAAACACTTGGAAGTGCAGCTGACTGGGACCTCTTCAATGAAACAATTCTTTAGCTGGAAAATACTCATTCACTATACACTAAGGCACTTGCAAGAACCTAGGTGCTTCAACAGGACTTTTAATGAAATGCAAAACTCAAAGAGAGCGAGAGGTATAATAGGTAATAGCCTTGTGATTGTGAAACTCCCTTGGGAGATAAGCAGCAAATTCAGGAGTCTCTTCTGCCTTATTTAGGTGTTGGGCCTGAGATTTTTTCTTCTTGATCGTAACTTAAGTCTCCTGGCTGCTAGGTGTGAGAGAAACCGCTATAGAGCTGGTCCAACGATTATTCTGTCTGTCTGGGATGTTGGGTACTCAGCTTCATGGCTTTGTTGCAGAGAATTTAAACAAAATGTACAAATAAAAAAGTCGTAATCCATCTCTAGCTTAGGCAAACCACTGCAGAGTGGATTTCCTGGTGGTTGGAGTGGATTTCTGGGACAGGGAGGAATGGCAGCCCTGCAGACTGAACCTGAATCTTGCACATCCTAGGTAAATTCCTCTCACTGCCAGACTATTATCTGTGCATCCATAAAATTGAAAGGGGTTAGTGTCATTTAATAAAGAAAAAGAACATTTAAGAAACCTTAAAAAGTTTTACAGGATAAAAAAAAAAATTTCCTGGTCTAACCTGATATTGAGCATCTTTCGTCAACAGGGGACAGATTTAATAAAAAATATTTATGATTATACATGATTATAAACTCACAATATTTCAGTTCGACTGTGATTGTATTTATATCCTGATATCATTAAGAATGACTTCTGTTAGCAGTGAAATCTGGTACTCTATGATTGACAATGTTCTGTATATAGAAAGGGAGAGTCTCACTTGAAAAATTTGACAGAAAACTTGAAGAACTTTATATACCTTCCAAGACAGTGTTTTATAAATTTTTGAGAAAAATCCAATGGCCCCTAAATTCTTTGCACAAGGTATAATCTTAAAACTATCAGGTAACACAATGTTGTAATTTTATAACAACACATAGCTGCTAAGTAACATAGAGTCTCATTTGAAAAATTTGACAGAAAACTTGAAGAACTTTATATACCTTCCAAGACAGTGTTTTATAAATTTTTGAGAAAAATCCAATGGCCCCTAAATTCTTTGCACAAGGTATAATCTTAAAACTATCAGGTAACACAATGTTGTATTTTTATAACAACACATAGCTGCTAAGTAACATAGTAACACATAAGTATTTGGTAAAAATAGAAATAGGTCTTAATTCTTTCTCATCATGGATGTCAACTTTTTTTTGCTATTTAGGCTATTTTTCCATTTTGAGGCTAGACATAAATTCAGATTACAAATGTTTGCTTCTAAAGAATATTTACTGGAAGAAGAAAAGCCTAAAATAGTATGTCTTAGCAGGTCTCTTTTTTTGCAAACAGGATTAACACAAATGGTGCTGCCAGATGATGATTAATGGTTCTAAAAACTATAGATCTGCATTATGTAATGCATCTCATATCCTTGAAATGAGGACTGTAATTTGTCATTGTTTAGAGCTAAAATTACAACAGGTAATTTACAAGAATAGATTGTAGTGTTTTATAATTGCATTTTTTTAATTCATATGGTCTTATATTAGATCTCAGAGCAACGCATTCATTTTCTGTGTAGTGACGTGCAATGGCTGGATAATCAATTATACATTTGTTTAGCTAAAATGACCTCTATCATATTTCTCATACAGTATGGTACCCTGTAAGTAGCACCACAGAATAAAACCACACTCCTCCCACCAAGAAGCACTCATTTTCTACTTTTATTTCCTCATCCATACTCAACGCCGTGACTGGCAGGGTTTGCAGCTCACCCTTGGGGTTGGAGCCCATTCTGCCTGCTCATGGGAATTACCTTCTGGTCTCTTGTCAGCATGCCCTTACGGGGTGCTGCTTTCTCAGGGGCCCTCCCTGGCACCCCTCCTTGCCCCTGCTGCATCCCCCTGTTTTAGACAATGAATGAATTCTCTGACTGGCCTTGGCTCATATCAGGGATATGGCTCATTGTATGCTGCAGAGTTCATTAAAAGGCACGCGATATTTCACGTTCAAAGAATTTCTCTCTCTGAACCTCTCTGTACTCTTTCACAGAATTACAGAAAATTTATGTAGAAGATGCCAGACAGAAAATCCTGATTCATGGCATTTTTTTATGGGAATGCACTAAGAATCCAATGTTTTGGCTTGTGATATGGTCTAATGTGCCCTAATCATTCGAATGGGAAATTCCATTAAATCAGTGACTTACGGTTCTGGAATTGCTCAGTGACCTCAAGTGCTGGAGGACAGATGTAGCTTGCCTTCTTTATTTACGGGTGCTGGCTCATAAATGTATCTTGCTAGCTTGGACAACAGAGACAGCTCCCTTGTGGGCCACTTAGTTGAACTTGACTGAAGAATGTCTGCCCCTGGAAAGAAAAATATTTGGTTTCCAACAGAGAACTGGAAGTTTCTGTGCCAAACAGTACAGTGTTTGGAACAAGCTAGAACAGAATGGAGAGAAGATTAAATTATCATGCTAGGACTGAAAGTTATTATATAGATAAGTAAAAACATAATACACCTATGCAGGTATCTGCCTACTATGAATGTTCTTCCTTTTCTATTTTCAAGCAGTGTTAACTGCATAAAGCTAATGTGTAGTCAGTCCTTGGTACTTGCTTTCAAAAATATAGGCACATTTTGTTAAATGTGTAGCATAGGCAGCAAGTGATATGGCCACATCAAGCTGTTAAAAAGAAGACAAGTGCAGGTCAGATACGTCTTCAGAGACTTTACAGGGCCCTGCAAAATTAGTAGTAGCCAGAGCTAAATGCCTTTGTATCTAGCATCACATACAATTAAAGTATAGTCCGGAGGTGCTCTGTGTCTGCTCAGAGATGTAAAAATTTATTCACTATTAAGAATCAATATATTATACAGATTTTTAGTTCAGAACCAGCATATTTGAATCAAGGAGAAATATTGTCATCTGGTGAAGATTTCAGCTTTCATCACACACTCAGATTTGAATTTTGATCACCCCCTTCCAAACACACATCCACTCTAGATATCTACATGTGTATGTGTGTGAATGCGTATGTATGCATACCTGTGTTATTTTGGCAATGGTGCTCAGATCTTGTTCATAATACTATTTTCCGTTATCTGTCCTTGCATATCTCATTTCAGTTGACACAATATATACTTATAGATTCAGAATTTGAAAGGGATAGGAAAAGAAAAGAATGCATATTTTCGGTAAAGGCATCTGTGTGGTTTTGTGTAAGATTTTTATAAGACCGAATTGAAAGAGGACAAAGAACATCATAAAGGTAAACCTATAGAATTTAATGGAATGTTATAACTTTGTTATATTTTTTTATTTATCTTACAGATTTCATTAGGAAGTAATAGTCTCATTATAGAATCTTGTAAGATAATGTCAAAAATAAAAAGGACACATATTCAGATAAATTCTGTAAGTTGTAATTTCTGTAGAATCCTGCCAGCCTCCTCACCTCTGGTGAGTTCTAAAGGGTTTTCTGTAGAGACTCTATTATTCAGTCTGTTCACAGGAAGGCTGAAAGCCTGGATACAGCTGGACGATACACGTGCCTTATTCAGTGAATTACTAGTAGCTATCATTTGCTGCCTTGCCACAGCAGTAACAAAATAGTAACGGAGAGCAGAACTCCCATATCGGGTAACACACATGCGCCAGCTGTCCCTTTAACCCACTGCTCTCCTCCTTCCTCGTAAACCCCCTTTTTTTTTTTCGTCTTTAAATATTACATGTTTTTCACTTACGAATAATACTTTGTTTACAATGTTACATCTTAAGTACCCAGTGATTTCATGGAAAATTCTGTGTTTGTAATGGAAATAAAATACTCACTTCACACTGATAAACGAATCACAGAAGTTTGCCCTTCCTGTTAGTATTTGCGTAACTTTAAGAAATATCTTTGCATCATGTACACAGGTGCCATGTGATGCAGGAGTTACCATGGAAACAACACTATTGAATGGCAAAATCAGGCTTCAGAATAGCTTTATCTTAATCACCTTCAATTTTTCCATATGTTCCAAGTATTTTTCTCTGTTCAACATGGAGTGAACATGAAACATAACAAATCTGTGGGTTGAAGAATGATATGCTTCACTTGCACAACTTTTCAGACATTGCCGTCCTGTTTTAGTAATAAATTCCTTTTGTTCCTATTATGACTTGTATAAAAAAGACAAGTAATGGACAAACCATATATGTGCTTTATCTACATATCTTCAGAAGATATTGTAAGGCAGACATCTCCCAATGGAGACTTTAATACTTTAAGCACTCCATAAGTAATGGTGATCCCATAAAAGGTCCATCACTGGTGTCACACTGTGTTTTATGGAATAAAGAAGAATGGTTAGTTTGAGAGGGGACCCGAGAGGCAGAGGGGACCCACACCCAACAAATTTGTGGATACTGTACAACTGACCCCAGCCACTATTCTATCATATTAACCTCTACCAAACAACGCTCCTTCTTTGAATATAAATTTCATCATATGAAAGAGCTTTTATTTGATTCTTTGTATTATAAGATGTTCTTGAAGGAAACAGAAAATGTACTTGATGTAATGCTGTACATAATATATGTATAATATATACATATATATATAAAATATAATATATACCTCTACCAAACAACGCTCCTTCTTTGAATATAAATTTCATCATATGAAAGAGCTTTTATTTGATTCTTTGTATTATAAGATGTTCTTGAAGGAAACAGAAAATGTACTTGATGTAATGCTGTACATAATATATGTATAATATATACATATATATATAAAATATAATATATATGCTCGAGGGTAGGAAGGCTCTGCAGAGGGACCTGGACAGGCTGGATCGATGGGCCCAGA